ATATATATATATATATATATATATATATATATATATATATATAACATTTACTTGATCCGATATTTCAGTTTTTGATCGTTATTAAAGGCAACGTTAGAAATTGCTTACATTATTTCGCACGCCTCGTAAACATGCGAGAAATAAGCTACGTGCATTTGCACCGACGCGCGTGAAAGTTACTCACGACAGTAAAGGCCGCACCGTATTTTTCAACAATCGCGGCACTGGTGTGCACTGGTTTTATGCAGGTTATAAATCAAAGTGAATCGCATACGCAGAAATAGGAGAACGTGCCGAGAGAGGAGAGACGATGGAACGTCAAGGATTATACGATAGCACCTTACTAGAATAAATACTGTGTCTCCTGCGCGATTAAGATCGCAAATATGCGAACAAAGCTGACTAACTCTACAAGGAGACGAGTTAAACGCTTTAAGACGGATATTAAGACAGTGCAAAAATGCTTTAAGACGGATATTAATCCTGCAAAAGCATGTAACTTTTCAAAGTCGCCCAATTTCTACTAAGTCACAAACAGCGTGACAATGTGGACATATGGAAATCAAGTGATTATGCGAGAGAATCTGCATCGTTAACTAATTGTTAATTGCCTCAAAATGTAATTTTTTACTTTTCATTCAAATGTGATACCTTAATTTTTTGAAATTATAATAGTTTAGAAAGTTCACTTTGATAATAAATCGAAAAATAAATATTAAAAATTATAATATTTTTATAGAGATTTAAAGATATTATAAATACTATTTAAGTTTTAATATTATCAGGAATCTTAATTACCGTAAGAGACATTACAGACTTATAATTTAAGGTTTAATAAGCAATTTAAAATAACAAATTTTGTCTTTAAGAAAAAGTGCGAGGCGGAAGTTAGAAGTTCTTGCGCGAGAGAAAAACGAGTAGATTGCGAGATCGGCCATATTCGCCTACAATTTTCGATCCTCCTGTGCACTATAGCATAACGACCGTTCTTATGATTATTAGTGGAGTTCTGCTGCCTAGAGAAAGGCCTCTCCATGTGCTGACATGACAAGATAATCGGATAAGCAACTCGAGACGAGAGGCGTTTCCTTTACACATGCTTGTCCTCATGTTTAGTACATTAATTGATAAACTTATAGTCTCTAGTTTTGAAAAATAAAATATCAAAGTCAGAAGTTTGTTTAATTTGCCCATGCTGTTGTTTATCGTTAATTTGATCGATGAAACAAATGGATGGAGCTTAAAATAATAAGAGAATAAAGCGACAACTCGATCTTGTCTGGAAGATTTGAAGTTGTTTCTCCATATTTTATTAAACCAATTACTTTATCAGACTAATGTTTCATGTTCAGCATCAAATACAGAGTGTTCCGTGATCAATGCGCATAGAGAAACCTAAAAATTTCGATTCTTATTCTTTCTTTTTTACTCTTACTCTTACTCTTTCTCTTTTTTATTCTTACTCTTTCTCTTTTTTATTCTTACTTTTACTCTTTCTTTTTTACGGAGTAACGTACAGACTTGTCAGCGCCGTGCTTTCACTGCTTAATCAATATGTTTGCGTCAGTTTGCCAATCGTTCCGATAAATACGTTCCTCTGTACGCTAACATATGTGCATAAATTGCACAGCATTAAATTCACATGTGCAAAAAACGATTTTATTTTCACGGTTGTGGCATGCAGGAAAGAATAACATGCAAGAAAGAATAGAGGTATCTGCAACTTTCCTCCATGACGCTACTGTGAACAGCATCTCACACCGTATGAATCACCGCTGCTGATTTCTACAAGCAATATTACTTTCGCTCTTTTTATTCAGGCGCTCATTTCTAATATAATGTCGCTGTGTTGAGAATAAGTTACTTTTATTTCTACAATACAAGTTTCTGAGCTATAAATTTAGCTTAACGTTCAAATGTATAAAAGTGTAAAAACTAAACTATTTTAGAATTCACGTTATTTGTATATGTATATAATTTGTGAGACACAATTTTATTTAGAATCGTAAGTGTAGGAACGAGTTTCTTAATACGTAAAGAAAGAAACGCAGATTTATTCCCATCTTCAAAAGATGCAAAACAAAGTGCGTGAAAGTAAATATTACAATTTTATCGAAATTCAAAGGCTAGATAGAAATTTAATATAATTAAAGATAAATCCAGTGTACTGCATAAGCAAATAACAACGAAAGATCTAATTTTCACACATAAATCCATGACTGAAGTTATTATACACTAATTAAACATGAACCAAGAAAAATGCGATTTTTTATTGTAGAGAACTTGCGCAAAAAATTCGAGAAGCCTTCGCGCTTTTCCGTTAAATCAGTCATGCGTTTGACCCGAATGCAAATCTTATTGCAGCTGGCGACAGTAACACAGTATAGTTTCTATGGAATGTACGTTATCGATATTATGTTATCGACGACTACGTTATCGATGACTAAGGCCTGTAGTCATTCGTTAGGTTTGAAATTCGTCTCAAGTGAAGTATTCAGAGGAGATACTTAAATTTGAATTAAGCCTGTATTAATAGTCATTACTTGAAGTTTGTCTCACGTGAGATACTCAGATTTTCGAATTAGATCCAAGTTTTCAGTTGAATTACATGATGATGTGGCATTATATTTGCGAACGCAATTCAACTGAAAAACTCTCATTTGTCTCTGAACTCAGATCTGAATATCTCATTTGGAAGAAGTTTCAAGTAACGACTATTAATACAAACCTTATAGAGAGAGTTAGATGAAAGTTTTTTAATTGAATTATATATAATATATGTGACACTATATACATATATTTGCAATAGCGATTCAGAAACTAACTCTGAGTTCAGATCTGAGTGTTTCACGTGAGACAAAGTTTCAAGTAACGACTATTAATACAGACCTCACATTTTAATTCAGAGTTGAATGAGAGTTTTTTAGTTGAGTCGAGATTACAGACAAAATTATTACATATATCGTATGATGCAACTAAAAAACTTGAGTCTAACTTTGAACAAATGTCTGAATACTCTACATGAGACAAATTCCAGATGATGACTGTTAATACGGGTCCAAGTATCGGCCTTTTTATTATATAGCAGTCCTGTTTCTTTCCCAGTTTTCTTTAGACAGTGCACACGCGAAGTTTCATGGAGCTATAGACAACTTCGTCTCGTTGCCGAGTCACCGTCGCTTTAGCTCGTATCACGATGCATTCGCCGCCGTTATAGTTACTTGCCGGCTCTCTTAGCTCATATCACAGAGTGCTAGCATGCGACTCACGTGACGCAATTCTGAATGCGCGATCGAAAAGCTCGCGGATCGGAATGTTCGCATCGCGTTTACGACCCAACCTTCTCTCATTGGCAATGCGTCCGACATGTCATGTGTAAAATGTTAGTCAAGGTCTTGGCGACGGATTAATCGCTGTCTTAAGACGCACATCCCGATAAATTACGGGTGGTTAATTAATCGTTCTCGATTAGATATGTTTGGAATTCGACAGGTCCGAATTAACGTAAAATATCAAATACTTTCCGTCGCTTTGTTTCGGATATATTTCATTGTCACATTTCTTTTATAAGCCACATCATTTTATTTCTCGTTTTTAATAACGGAACATTACGTGCCTGTCATCGTCATGAGCCACGTTTTGCCACTTTACAGATAATTCCTATTTTTCATTCGTAAAATGATTCATTTCTAGTGTCAGTGAAATCAGCGACAAACTTTTGCAAGTCGCTAATAGCAAGTATCCGGAGATTTCACTAATCTTATTCGAAAGTATAGAAACAACTCGGTGTGACACATACGTTTGACTGTTAAAGTATCTACGAGCGATACGCACTGACTACACTTTCTTAACATGCTTTTGTACGTTTGGAATTTGTCTTTTCAAGCACGAGCATAGATAGAGCAGACCTCGATACAACACCTGTTGAATTTCACGTGCACTAGATTTGCCATTTGCGCGAGATCTTAAAGTATCTAATATGATGTCAGAAAACGGTTTGAACTCGCTCGCCAAAATGTATCACTATACTTTATTTGATAAACGTGTTTTAATTAATATTATAGTTAGTAGACAAAACTATTAGTAATTACAACGGCAAAAATACAAGAAAATGGAACAATCGATAGTTCATCATCAGAACTTAAAATCTGTTGAGTGAATTAGCGAATTGAAACCTTCAAATGCCTGAATCGTGAAAAAATAGCCATAAAACACGAAGCTATCGTAAGTTATCACGAAAGCAGCCTACTTTCACTGAGCCACGATATTTTCACTTGCTTCGTGCGGTTCATCCTTCCTAATGAAATATTTATGTGACATTATCTTAAGCTGTATTTAATGTTATATAAAGCATCACGCGAGAAGAATTGGAGAAACGCAAATTACGAAGTATCGAGATTTATTAACTTTAATAAGAGTGATTAAATAATCCAATAGCGATTTCTTTTACGGTCCTGTCGCGATTAATCTCCAACGAATGTCGCGAAATCTGCAATCTTTCTTCAGTTCAAGCCAAAAAATATGCTATTCTTAAACGTACTGTTTATCGTGTTAGACAAACGTTGATAAATGAATCTAAGAAAAATTATTAACGCGTCTAGAACGAACATGATCTTTGGTTTTTAAAGAGGAAAGTTGTGCTTCTTCCATTGATGGAATTCCATTTTGAAATTTATTCAGCCGACTTCACAGAAAGGGACTGAGAGAGCGAGTATATTTTGGTCGTGAGTTTGTTGTAATTAAGCCTATCCGTTATGGAGAACGGCGTTCTCAAACGAGACAGACATTCATTTGCTATACTGCTTTCATAACGGCAGTAGCCGAGCATCTCGGATAAGTTTCCGCGTTACAGGTGGTTGTGCTGTGCCTCACCATAACGTTTATACCTATTCATTATCTGAATTAAAGACTCACTTATTACTACGTATTTATTCTCAACATTGTGACACAATGTCGCTGAAACACTAAAGTTTACAATGCGCAATTTCTCTTCTCTTCCTCTTTAATTGCTCAGTTGAAAAACAATTAATAGTTCCTTATATAAATCAATTACACTCAGAGTTTTCAGAAACTCGACGAATAAGCACAATCACATGTTTCGATAATTTATTATTGACACTATTAACAATTATCAATTGTTAACGAGCACACGAACCTCCCCTCATCTCGTTTCTTATCTTCCCTTATATATTCTAAAATATTACCTTCCGTCGAATTGATCTTCATGTTATCGCGCACTATCAGTCGCTTGTTAATTTCTCTTTGCCGAAGGAATAAACTTTCCCAGTCGTTTTGCAAGCTGTCTCACAGATTTCCCGGTCTGTTCAGTGATGTTTCTGTTGATCGAGTGAGGAGAACAGGAACCGACACGACGCGAGGAAGCGCATTCGCGGAGCACTACCGACTCCGAGCGAGTCGGTCGTCTCGAGAGCATGAAGTAAACTGCCGACAACATGCCTGCTGTCGTTTATATAGCTACGGTAAGACGTCAACAAGAGCGACAGAAAGAAGGGACATACGTCGCCAGAAGAACGAAGAGAAGAAAGAAGACCCTGAGTAGAAGGAGGAAAGAGATATGGTGGAAGCTTGAGGAAGCAAGACAGGTAACGTACAGCGGGGGCGACGGAGGAAGAACGGAAAGAGAAATCCGACGGACGGCACGCGGACGAGCTTCATGATGGGCCACGTAACTCTCATTCACCATCCTGGGTCCAGGTGTAATCTGGTACGCATTGAAACGACATTACAATGATGCTTGACCGTGATCTCACTGGTAAAATTTCCTAACTACTTCATTAGATCACAAAATGATTTGGATGCGCGATAGATTAACATAGAAAACGATTTATTAAGCAGAAATTACAATCGCGCTTCTTGATATTCGCGAGAAGACACGACGCCTAAATTTACTTTTGGTTCCTATGACTTTTGCTTGTTTACAAACAGATAGAAAAACTACGAAGTCTCATTAAAAGTTATTAATGTCTCAGAAAATTCTTTTCTACTATCTAAATTAAACAATCGAGTTGCAAAAAATATTTTTTTGATTTTGCTAGATGTAATTCATGATAACTATTGCAGATGGAACAGAATGGTATTGATTTTGATGACATTTTTAACCAGAAGCCATTGTTATTCAAAATATTTTTATTACAATTTTTGTTGCGAGTCTATTTAATATTATATAAATATATGTGGATCATTCTTTTTTTATTTTCAATTAAAATATTTACGCGTGTATTTAATAAGGCACTTTCTTGTGTTCAGCAAGATTATCATAGAAACTAACTAATGAATTATGCATCACAATGACAAAAATTAGCCAAAATAATATTTAATAGTTAACATTTTTACTATGAATTTTACAGTAGTTCAATATAGCTGGAAAGTTCCACAATGTCGTACGTATCGTCACGTATCCTGATTCCTTATCGCCTTATGTTTCCTCCCAGCCTCATTGACGTAAACGGAAAGTTCCTTATTGCCACGTATCATTAAAATTATCGTAGTAACTTAGCTATATCGTTAATGGAAAAAATTTGTGAACGTCTCGTTCATGTTCACACTTTGTTATATCCTAAAATATGTCTGTTAAAACGTAAATTTTACGTGTAGACATTTATAAAATTATCACTTCCTATGATACAATTAATATGATACAATTATTATATTAACAATCATCTCTATATTACTGTGATTTATTTCCCAGTTTTGTAAAACCGATAGCACATATACACATCTATTCCGTGTATCAGCCCAACGATAGCAGTCAGAATCTACAACACATAAAAGTCACTGTTGATATCTCTTTTGAGGCAAAATATTTGAAAATACAATAATCCAGAAAAATCGCAAAAAATGCATCAATTCTCTTTTACTAATATAATTTTCGCCTTTTTGTTTAGAGTGATTAAATGTAAATCAAAACTCCAAATTCATTGGCAAGAATTGCTGTGACAATTCTTGGAGTAGCAACGAATAAGTAACGGTACGAGCTAGTGAAAGCGTGAAATCTGTTTCGTGACTGTAGACTAATCAACTGTATAATTACATAAGCTATTGTCATGGCATGATACATGTTCAAGTTGACTCGTATCGTCGTCACTAGAACTACTTTTGTAGCAGTGGCCAAGAAGTATGCTGAACTTAAATATAGCGAACAAGCTACAAAATTGAACATAATCTCCTGAAATAAAAACGGATAACTTTTAACGAATTATAAAATTAATAAAATTATCATTTCAAAAGAAAATAATATATCAAAGATGAAATCCTTTAAAACTATTTTGGGTTTACGATTTCTTTATAAAGTAATTCATCGTTCATTTGGAACGTTTGATACATACGAAATGTGTAAAACGAATCGCACGAAAAGCCTTCTCAGAAGTTACATAACAAACAAGCAACAGAGCGGAAGTCAGGAAACAGGCTGATGTCGTGATTAATGATCCCTCAAACGCCAAGCCTATAGTTGAACTATAATACAGGCCATACATGATCATCAATCCCAGAATCAATGCACTGATTAACTGAAATTATACATTAGTTCGCTATAAGAATGTCATAAGAAATGAATATAAAATTTATGTCCGAAAATATATCTGGAAACCATATATTTTAAGCTATAAAATAATCCTTAAGGCATCTAATTGCAATTATTTTTGCCGAAGTTACAATTAACTAAATTTTGCCGATTCTTTATGATTAGGGAAAATGATTCTTTAATTTTCATGTATGATGTAGTTTTCTCTCTCTCTTTCTTAAGGTATACTTGAGTCATAATAGTAATGCACATACATTGTGGTTACTTACCGTTTCGCAAATTTTCATAACTCCCGGCGCTGATTTGAGGAATCGCAAATGTATGTTGAAATAGCCACCAAAACATTTTCCAAAACAGCAACATGGCCAACAAGTGGGCAAGCAATTGGGCAAGCAATTGGGCAAGCAATTGGTGAAGCAAGTGCAGTATTCGAGAGGCGAGCACATCCTGATCACCGGTCCGCCGTTGCTTATAAACACGATTCTGTATGGTAGACGGCTAATTTAATGCCTGCTCTTGCGTCTTGTGTCACGTTGCTTGTTAAATTGTCCCATTAAATGATGTCGTTCCTATGAACCGTACACAACAAAATATAACTCTACTGTTAAGAAAAATGATTATCCAGTTTATTTTCCAGACAGTATGATCATGACTTTTAGTCATCTTTATGATACATCTTTTAAAAGTATCATAACAAAAAGATATCTTAATGTCATCTTATGCGTTATTTTTAGAGCTCGTGCTGTCTGGATCTTTTCTCCTTAAGTAACGGTTAATCTTCAACAAAACATATTCTTTTGATAATAGCATTATAATATATTCATCGCAAACTTTAAAAAAGTTATTAGGTAGCTATTATTTTTTTAGGAATTTCACATATCATAAGCTTCATTATTATAATATTTATTATATGATATGAATTATAATAATGATATGAATTATAATGTTATGAATTATAGTAATTAAATTCTTCTCTTTAATCTCTGCACGAGAACGTCACGTCGATATCAGTTATATCGATGAAAAAGTTGGTTCGAATTTATGTAGCTTATAGAAGTATGTAGCAAACAAATCAAATTTTGATATTAATTTAATATTCTTGATTAAAATGTTAAACTCACTAAGTTTCAAAATGTACTTTAAGTAAGTTTGATGCTTAATAATAATAAACTTAAGATTCGCGGATATATAAACATACTCGAAACAAGTAATATTTACTTGAATTACATGATGTATCTGTTTGTGCGTATAACGCTCTTCATTAATCCTTCTCTACTCGGTACTTAAGGGCCACATATGTGCGTACGCTCTCTCCCACAAAGACAATTAAATTTATCATACGTCAACCGCCTATGTTTGCTCAAATATAATAACACTTTTTTCGATACTTATTTTATTATAAACTCAATACCATTTATTACGCAATAAATTACTTTCCCCGCTTGTATAAAAAATAAAAAATAATCTCCCTTTAGTTAAAATCGTGATTTTGTTCAAGAATGTGTAGCATAAAAGCAGAAGTGTATCCGAAGTATCGAAAACGGATTTGAAAAATACAACGAAGAGATTTGAAATATAATATAAAACACAATATGATGCATGCAAGCGTGGACACTTCGAAATATTTAACTTAACTAACATAGTACTTAACTCGTGCTTTGTATATTTATCTGAGTGTAAGCAATAATTAACTCGAGTATTTTTAAATTATGATAATTAATCTTTTGTTCCTTTTCCCCAGCAGCAACTCTTGTGAAAACACAAAGCGCGACCGTGACCGCGACCGATGACACTTTTATACAGACTGAGGGTGTCGGCGCATGTATCCACGAAGTTTAAATGTCGTTGCACCCTCCGCACAGCATCTCGACGCGGGGGAAATTGGTGTCTATTTCTGGCACGTGCCACTAACGCAGGACGTTTCGTTGGCTGGCTGCACAGACAATGAAAACGCAAAAATCTCGAGAAAAGAACATAATAATTTAAAAAATATTTCACGTTTTATATTTTCCGTCATGTGAAAATAAAATAAATTGCGTAATCTATTCTACATCGCATACATTTGTGGTTGTTTTAAATTAACTGTAACCAATTTTATAATATCACGGAAATACTTATGAAAATATTATTATAAAATATTATTAGATCTCGAGTGTTTGGGAAAAATTTCTATGTACAGTAAGCAAACTTTAAATAATATAATATTTTAGCATTTTTCACTTTGCTGCTATCAGCAAGTAAGTATCATTGCATTTTACCTATTCCTAATTCGGAACGTTCTTAGCACAGTGAGACGTAACGTAAGTACAAAATTAGCACGTTTATATGATAAACGTGATGATAACGGTTATACGAAATAATTCCCATATACACATATTTAGAAATCGAATAATACAACTTATATTCTCTCAATTATTTATTCGATAAATGTATATATATGTATAATATATATAATATAAATATTTATATAATAATATTAATATTATAGTTTAATTTTATCATATTATAATATATATATATTAAAACATTTATATATAATATATATATTTATATATTATATATAATAATATTTATAAGTATTATATATATATATATATATATATATATATATATATATATATATATTAAGATTTATTCCGCAAAAGTATTAGTTACAAATCACAATCATTGTGAAACCATAGTATGCGAAATGTACACAATAAAATTTCACATGTGTCGAGGTAGACTTTGTAACTTTGTATTATGCAAAGCATAACTGTCACGATTTTTCAAAGCGTAAATTTTTGTGTACATTTACAATTACAATTGATAACATTTAGAACTCCTAATTCATATAATAATTTCACAATTTCGTTCAAGGGCCAGTAATTATAGTATAAAAGTACAAAGTATAAGTGTACAAATACAAAATAAATGTACATATAAAAGTACAAAGCGTAAATGGCACGAACTTTCACGAAACACATGAAATGGAGCAGTAAAATGTCTTTCATATGTTTTAAGATATCATTGGAAACGTTGTATGATATTATACAGTCATAATATGTTGTACATGCTGCAGCTTACACACCGATTTAATTTCTTAAGCAGAGTTCGCAAAATATTTATAAAAGTCATAATTCCTTCTGGAAATAATGTATTCCCACTTTCGAGGAAGTTGTATTATTTAGGAAGTCACACTTGAGTCGCTTAGATCGACCTATAACCACGATGAGCGATGATCGCGCTGATGAGATATAAAGCAGAGTTTATGAAACCGCAGACCTAAATGAAAATTTGTACATTAGTTTGTATAAATTTCTAAGTGATAAAATATATCGAGTTTTAATTGATGTATATATCGATTGTCAGTGGATCATAAAATAGTATGTAAATTGAATTAATCAAAAAAGTTCGATTCCATTCTTAATCACATTTTATTGCACACACGTGCAATAGAAACAAATTATTCACCAACCAGATAATGATTGATGTTATATATGATACCTCGCCAAAGTTTGGACAATATTCATATAATTTTATTGTATGATATATTAAATAAAAAAGAAACATATCATACCATTATAATCTCAATTTATTGTAAGTAAAATTTAATTTCTGAATATAATATTGTACTCACAGAAGCGGCTAATAGTAACTCGTAGTTTCTCATATATTTACTGATGTACGTCACCAAAGTTAACGAAGCCGCGAGTAATAGCCCAAAGGCAATGGCGTGATAAATGAATTCCTAGATATTAAAAGAAGAAATACATTAATGAAGATGTTTATTATGAATTATTATCAAATCTATATTTTGTAACTTTTATCAGAATAAGAAACGGACACGCTGGATGGATCTTAAAAATTAATTATTTGGGTTAATTTTAATCTATTTGGATTAATTAATTATAAGTACACGAACGGAGTGGGGAGAAGGATTATACTGAAATTTTTTATATATACGTAGAAATACTTACGTAAATGGTTTTACTTAAAATGGATGCAGTAGAAAGAGACGCTAGGCAGCTGAGAAGGATGATGAAAGTACCGATCATAAAGGTAGTCGCCATGAGTATAAAAAACATTTCGTTCGAGCTCCGATGATTATAGTGTTTATGAAATTCGGAACTGGAAATTCCCACGCATACTACACCCAACACCTGTTGAGAAGAAAATGAGGAGAGCTTCATTAAATATAACACAACAAAATATTTTGTCGCCGCCACGTTAAAGAGAATTAATTATTATTTGCACCTGAAATTATAGCGTCTTAGATTAGTTTTGGAAATTAGCAATTCTCGTTATTGCTAATCGTCTAAACCAAGTGCTGCGTGTTTGAAAGCAACGGCAAATTATTAAACCAAACCAAGAGTAATACAAATAATATTACAAGCGCGAACAGAGGCTAAATAATAATAATGATCTATACCAGTTGTAGGAGCTTGCAAATACCGTTCCAAGATTTCAAGTAACCAGAGTTGACATAGTACGCAGAGGCTGAGCCAGAAGTGGTCGTCACCGTTTGCGTCCTTATCGTCACGTTGTGGGACATTGTTGTCTCGTTGTGGGGTCAGTTCTGCAATCAAAAACGACGTTGTTTGTACGCTTATCGTAATCCATAATAGCATCATTCAGTGTGCGTAATTGAAGACGTCGTGTACGACAAGTAGGACAAGGTCGAGACTGTGAAGTGAGACCTACATCGAACGAAAATCCTCGTTTCTCCCTCACGAAAATAGCAATGACAGCATAACTTTCCAGAATCCCGCACGTGCGTAACAGTTTTACGTATCTCAACTTTTCGTTTGATGCACTGCAAACGATTGAAAGAAATCTGACGAAATCTGAGAAATTTATAAAGGACACGTCGAGATAAATTAGAAGGAATTTCTTTTCCAAGAATTTTTATCTGGAGAGACGGATTAATAAATTCGGAATTTTATCGTGTGTTTTAATTGTTTAAAAAACAGTATAGAATTCATCCTATCGCAATTATCGTCTGATGGTCGCCTGTATCCTGGCGCGCCCCTTTAAGTTGGCCCACGATCAATAGTGTGCGTGAGGACCATAGGATTCACTTTCTCTCGTGGGAGAAACCTTGAGCAAAACAACGTCAAACGGAATGTCTAGATATTCCGAGAGCTTCCACGAATCTTTATCAAACTCTGTTTTATCGATTTGAATCAAATACTGATAAAGGCAGTGAATTTAACGTAGATAAAGTCTGTTTGATAGGAGTGTAACTAACATTTCAGAACTATTTGTTACAACAAAATAAGCTACACATATACTACTTCGTTAATGCTAAACAATTCTTATATTAATAAATTATACATTTGCTGTTCTTATTGATAATTACTTGGTACTTCCACGCAAGGCATGTTTTTTCACTAAGTTGACTAAGTTCTTATACTAGCGTATTCTTTAAATAACGATCTTCATGTTTCAGAATAAAATCAGATTGCATTTTCCTAGAAGCAAAATTCAGCAGAAAATATTACATTGTCGATCGAAAATATTACATTTACGATTGATATTTTGTTGCGCCTAGCGTTTTCTTTTTACACTTGTGATTGAAAAAACATACAAAAGTCAAACGATTAAAACTTTCTTTACACCTACCTCCCTACCTACCTACATTTACTTCGTGGTAAATAAATGGTAATAGTTCTACTACTTATTCATTTCGAACAGATCTGTCCAGCAGTATCCAAAAAAGTTTAACGCAAAATTTAATTTAAAGTGAAAAATTATGATTAAATTCACACGATTTTAAGATAGCACATTGATTGCGCACGAAAGTTACTAAATATATCAAGGCACGCCCTCTGATACGAAAGTAAAGAATGAAAGTTTATATATATTCAATTTACATTTATTCTACGTACATCTCTTATATAATCTATTGACTGTAATTTAATGTGGGTTTGGGAAGACATTTAAGATATTAGTGGTAAAGAAATTTAGTATTGCAGAAATGTGTGAGTCAACACACCTAAAAGAGCGCCGTTCGTTGCCACAGGTTATTTTTAAATATCCAGGACGTGGACGTAAAGTGCGAGTTAAAAATTTATCAGAGTGACCACAATCACGATTAAGTCGCATCTGTCAAACTAATCTCATGCGTTATTTAATTATGTTGTATAATTATGTTGTATGATTATCTCCTAAATCGCCGATTGCTGTATTCGTGTAATATTATACGATCTAACGATATCTTTTATGCACATTATTATATATAAACTATCAATTCACACGCACATACCCACACACATACACTCTCTCTTTCTCTCTTGTCCTCGTCCTCTATATTATTAAGGTCACTTAAATTATACTATATAAATTAATTATGTTTTTTCTAGTAATGTTGCGATCGCATGTGTAAAATAATATTCTGACATGACACACGATAATTGTAACGTTAATTACAAATATATATATCACATCGAAGATAAATCAAATTGCGATACACTACGATAAAATTCTGCAAAAAAGAGCTGCCATAATTCTCCAACAAACTCTTCAATAAAATACGCATTTCTGAGTTTTGTATTTCATCACGAGTAAGCAAAGAAATGACAAAAACTGTGCATAGGAAATACACTAACCTGAAGAGAGAAGGCACGTTGTTACACATCAACCGTCGGCAATTGACTGAAGCGTTGCGCGTCGAGCGCGAACCGAGGATGACGTCATTGGTGATATCATACAGTCACACATTTTTCGACGATACGTATGCACTATAATCGGTATAAGCATACCGCGGTTTTCACCTGCGTGTGATTTACAACACAAATTGTCATATCGAAGATCATCTTTTGAAACGTAATTTTGAATAGCAGTGAAATATTTTCAGAAGGTCAAACGCGACGCAATAAATTTCTTATTTAGAGCAATGTATTACTCGCGACGTAACAGCATAATTATGTCGATTTGCATCTTGCATATTTTCATGGTCTTTTGCATACAAGCATGATCACGGAAATAGGATCGTCTATGGAAAATGAAATGTACACGAAAGAAGTAAATACACTGAAGACCGAATATTCACGAATTGAATGGAACATAAGGCCAATGAATAAAACACGTCCTGCGCACGATGTCCTTTAGTTTGACTTTATTTTAGCATCCACAGCTTAAAAATAAATAAACTTTGAAAATTAAAAAAAAATGTTCGAACGTAGATATATATGTATATTATGTATATATCACCGTACGCGCCTTATCAATTACGATACGTGGGTAAGTAGTGCTATACATAAACAAGTAACAATGTCGAAATAAACAATTTCTTGAACATAAATGCACATGTCGATGTCGTTTTAGCTTTATTAGGGAAAAAACGAGCGAATCGGAGGTACAAACGAGCAGAGAAATGAGTAGACGCCACTGGCAAATGCCCTCTGCTTCTCTCTCTCTCTCTCTCTTTCTCTTCCTCTTTTTCTCTCTCTTAGCGCGCTTATCGATAAGGAGAATAACGTAATCTTAATTACCAACGTATGTAACGTCCATTTTTAGCTTCAGTTAATTGGTCTCGTCAGTGTTATAGTTACGTAGCAACGATTTGAGTTTGATTATCAAACGCTCTCTACTGGCGCGCAGAGGTATTTTTTTTTTGTTTAGATATACCTAAGATCTGCGCAAGAGCATTCAAGAATGACAAATCGATATAACGTACCCACAACCCATTCCGTCGACATAAATTTGTTTTCCCTTAATGTATTCAAAACGTACGATTTACATGCGAATTGAAGAGAATATAAAAAAAGGATTGTACTGCGCGTCCAATCTAGAATATGTATATATAATATATATATGTCATCTATAATATATATTATATGTATATATATAAAGAGAAATATATGTGTATATAAATAAGATCTCGCGAGAGTGCGCAAAGATACGATTAGAAAATGACGTTTCACGCACGTGTATCAAATGTACGACAAGTTAACGTACGACGATCAGCCGTTTAAAACGATCGAATACTCGTGTGTTGATACTCATTAAAATTGTCAACGAAGATGGACGTCGGGTACGAATTTGATCATCGACGTAGCTTTACATCAAAATAACCAAATGTCGAACCCCTGACAATTTAAACATCGCTGATACAAAAGCTATCGCCTATGAAAACTTATCGTACATTGGCGTAAGGTCTTTCAGAACTATTCGTCTCGTCGTCCTCCGAAGGATCGTACAGCAGAAGTAGCAGTACAAACGAAATGACGTAAGTTTCACTTATATTTGGCAAAGATACTCCCTTCCTCTTTCTTTCTATCACTTGGAATGTACCTGCAAGTAACTAAGTACAGGTAGGTAGCATCCGCGTAAAATGACAATTGAAATTCGCTAATTATGCAGAAATCAATTAATGAAAGCGAATGCACAGTGACATCTGCATGAGAAATCAAATAATAGAGATTCTCTTATTAAAAGATAATTTGTTTTTATTATCTTATTTAAAAGTGTATCCATCTTTTTATGGACATGCAAATTTTCAGTCCATGCCATAGGATAATGGTAATAATTTTTTTTTTATTTATTTTTATGTTACGATTTTGTGCAAAATTAGAGGCTTGACCTCATCCATCCCGCGCAGATCTTGTGTCTAACATTATTGCCTTCGAATAATGTAGTATCTCGTAACACTTCGTTCACTTCTGCGACTCCATCGACTTTCCTCGAAGCGGCAAGAGGTCAGCTCTAATGACGGTCACGCGCGCGACAAATAACTAATCTTAAGGCACGTATAGGTACAGAGTCTTTTTTTAAGCTACACACAATCTGAGGAGGATCACGCCGGACTAGTATATCAAGCCGTCCCTCCTAGTGCTGACTTTCCTGTCGAGCAGGATCTTAGGACCGTGCCAGTATCCTCTTGGACGGACGCTGAGGAGTCACGGGCCTGGTCGCGGCAGTTTTCGATGGTGTTGCTGTTGTTGTTGTTGTTGCATGCTCTTCAGGTACCTGGCTTCTCCTCTGCAAGTTGATGATGCTCACTGCGTGTTCGTGCTCTTCCATTCGATGTAAAGGAAATAAGCTCCAGCGGCATATGCGATGGTATTAAAAATTCCAAACACCTGAAAGCAATGTCGAGCGTGTTTATAAAGTATTTGTAGACAATTTTCTCGATCGTTTAACACATTTTAAATATTCAATAATCAATTGCTAGGATTCCCAAAGCAAATCTCTCAGAAACATTCTATGTCCTAAGAACGTCTATAGAATATCCATAGAATATCGTGTCTAGGATATTCCAAACTTTTAGTTTAATTCCCTTTGACATTACTCAATCTTATGTAACAGAGAAAACAAATTTTTAACTAACAAGTAAACCTACCCAAAAAGTATACTCTGATTTGTTTCTAATTTGGCACAAATGTAAAAGTACAAAAAATATTTAGGTCATATTTTTTTATTTTGGCCCACTTTAAGTTTTACGGGCAGTTTATAGCTTTTTAATGTTCTCACTCCTATCATCAAGAAGTGCAACAAAAGTGCATAAAAAATAAAATTAACTACAAGATATAGGCGTTTTTGGTTTGCTGATTATGAATATGAAGTCAAATGTGTAAAATTATTTGTATAAATAATAAAATGTTTAAACGAAACATAAAAAATTGAAAAAAATTATTTATACAAATAATTTCTCGGTTTAGCTGAGATTCGAACCATTTTTTACTAATTTAGCATAGATTTGAAATATTTCGGTTGAAATCTCGACTAAAAAAATTTAAAATGGTTTGTGTCTCAGCTATGCCGATTTTGTTAAAATTATTTGTATAAATAATAAAATGTTTAAACAAAACATGTGAAAAATTGAAAAAAAATTATTTATACAAATAATTTCTTGATTTAGCCGAGATTCGAACCATTTTTTACTACTAATTTAGCATAGATTTGAAATATTTCGATTGGAATCTCGGCTAAAAAAATTTAGAACTGTTTGTGTCTCAACTATAACAATTTTGTTAAAATTATTTAACTATATCTTGTATTCAATTTTATTTCTTATGTATTTTTGTTGTACTTGTTGATGATAGAAGTGAGAACATTAAAAAGCTATTAACTGTCCGTGAAACTCAAAGTGGGCGAAAATAAAAAATATAACCTAAATATTTTTTGTATTTCTACATTTGTGCCAAATTAGAAAGAAATTGGAGTGTGCCTTTTGCATAGGTTTACTTGTAAGAAATTGGTTGTATGTGGTATGTTTTTATATTACAAAATATTCACATAAATCTTATAATAATAGTACTCACCCCAGCAGCGATATTCGATGAAGAATTCCTGAACGCAGTCCAAGCCGATAATTGAGCGATGAACGCAATCGTATAAAGCACTGTTTTTATGGATGTATTTAAAAGTTCCTAGAAGATATATTTATTTTGTAAAATTGGAGAAAATTACTTTCTTGAATTTATGAAATGAGTCGAACAGATAACAATAGGATTTTCCTTCGTGTTTTCTATAACGCATACTTACGGTTAGGATCCAATTGATGGGCACTTTAAGTACCTCCCGGATGGAAAGGAGATACACAGCGCACCATATAAGCGTAGATATAAAGGACATTACCGCAACGAATAGAAACCAGTGCGTCGCACCGATGTAAGCCGGAGATGCACATGCCATGCATATTATACCCAGAACCTGTAAAATAAACCAAACGTTTCCGTTGTTTACACATTGCGGGTAATTCAACGAGATGAAAATTTTTTATAGATACACGTGTATATAATTTCAAACAATTTCTCCACATCCTGAGTTAAGTGATTTAGTGTTAAAACAAATTCACGTTTTAAAGATATTTTTGGGGGAGATCTTAATAAATATTTTGTCTAAAACATTGGATAATGCATAGTGGACGTTTTTACGATTCCATAACCAATGTTTTCAAATAGTAACAAGTATTTAATACGAAGGAAATTGGGAGTTTCTCTAATCTCTTGGATTTCAATCCATTTTTTTCATATATTAATGCTTGTGTTGTTTAAATGCTACTTTCAATTTTGCATAACAGTACTTTTTAAAATTTGATCCGATTCATGATTTCCCGATACATTGATATTGATTGCATTTGTTGTGTACAAGTCCCTGTCTGATAACCTTCTTTGAACAACCCTTAAACTATCTTATCTTATCAATTTACGCTTACAATTCAGATTACCGTCGCATAAAATATGACTAAACCTTTTTACATCTCGAAGCCTTACACGATGTATAATGCATGGTTCATAGCATTTTCTTTCCTTTCTTTGCACAAATGCTTCGATTAAATTTTGGGACATACGGCTGCTCCTTCATTATTCTTCGCGCCTCGTCCTTAATCTTGTGAAACTCTTGCAAATACACGTCGATTATTTCTTCGTCTTTTATTATTTTCCGTTGCTCTTCCGAACTCTTATCTTTCTTTTCCAGATCGTAATACTCGGAAAACTCGAGGGACACGAAGTTATCGAAATATTTATTCTGAAGCGTGGCTTCGTTCTTGGCCTTGATCATCTTTAGATTCCTCTCTTCGGCCAAACGAACCAGCGGCAACCTCTTCTCCTCCAGTTCCCGCGACACGAATCTCTTCTTCTTCAACAGAACCTTCTTCATCCTTCCCTGCTGACGCATCTTCCAAATAGTATCTTTAGACTTCGGCATTTTCCTCATTTTCTCTTCAGCCTCCAATCTCAGGCGTTCCTCGTGTTGCCTGTGAAGCTCCAATCTCGACGTCTCAAGCCTTATCCTGCGTTCTTCGTCTATTCTTGCTTGCCTTCTGGCGGTGGCTTTCGCGTCGTTCTGGAGGAAATCCTCCTGCCACGAGGAAAACATCTTCTTCCTTCTCACTTCCCTCCAAACGTACTCCTCGAACCAATCCAATCTCTCTACCGTGTCGTCTGCAGGTTCCGTTGGTTCCTGGAAAATACGAAAGGCGCTGTTGCAATCACCAGCTCCGACCAGCTTGAAGCTGTCCTCGCACGACTCCCGAAGCGACAGGAAAGTTATCGGTTGTCTGGAGATAGTCTGCGTGAGCACCGGCTCGTTCGACCTCCTCCTGATGTCCCAGACTTCCAAGTCACCGAGATTAGTACCTATGAGGAAGATCCCGGGCCGGTTGCTCCAGCAACACGCGGTATACACGCGCTCGGACTTTCGTCTAAACAGAGGCAACTCCAAATAATCGTCTTTCCAGACGGCGAAAACATGGCCGCCTATCGTGAGGAGAACATCGTGAAGGTGCGGCGATCGGAGAATCGCCGTAACGGGACCGTCATGCGCGGAAGAGCGACTAAGAAGTTTGCACTCCTCTAAGCCGGACGTTTCCACGTCGAACACCTGGCCTTCCCAGGTGCAACAAACGAGATCCCCCTGCGCCGTACCGATCCAGAGTCTCCTCGTGTAATCTACATCCGCGGCGTCCAATTCGCTGTGATCGTGCTGATGCTTGTCGCCTTCTTGGAAAACGCTATCCGGCGGAAGGCACAGATAAAGAGGCGTGAAGGGCGAGTCCTTGCAGAATCGGACGTCAAGACGATAGATCGGACGGAAAGTGTCGTCCAGACCCTTGAGATCGCTCGGTTTCAACTGAGAGGTGATGGAATACCTGAGGAGATCCCAAATAGCGACGATGCCATCCTCGGAGATCGTTACGAACTGACAACTCGAGCTGGTGGACAGTTTCGTCAGTCTCCCGGACGGCTCGATCCTGCAATTATCAGGGAGCCATTGTATACGGCGAATCGGTGATTCGTGCGAATGATCCTGATCAGACGCCATGGACGCGTCCAACGTGATCGGGACGCCGCGTCGAGCACGCTGCTCGAGCCCGACATCCGTTTCACCGTCGTTCCCGTCGACATGCTCCCGATCTTTCAGCCGCCCGTGAATGTTCCAAACAGCCACTTGGCCCGACGCGGAACCGCCAATTATAAAGTCACCGTTTGTCGGGCAGAAGGAGATGCAGTAAATTTCTCGGTGGCAACGCAACAAGAGCCGAGGTCGCAGAGAATCGCCGAGGCTCCATAGTAACGCCGTCGGCTCGGCTCTTGACAACGCGCCATTAGCCGCGACGCGCGACGAAGATCGGATAACATCGCGCGATGATGATGAGGTAACGTAAGAGACAGCTACGCAATCGAGCATGTTCGGGTGCCAGGATGCGTCGGAGATAACCTTGCCGGCCGCGAAGTGCAAATCAACGAAGGAGAATCGTTCCGTGTAGGTGGTGATCTCACCACGCGGTCCCCGGGCTATTTCGATCTCCTTTCGCGCGAGCGTCTCGATATCGTCCACGTGCAAGTTTACGACCGTGTTGTAGCACACCGCCTCGATCATTTCTGGGGCGCGATCCTCCAAGAAGAGCTCCAGCGGTCCTCTCTCCGCTGGCTTCTGCTGCGCGTCCACCGCCTCGGACATTTCTCTCGAGCTTTCGGTCTCTTTCCTCTCTTCCAGCTCTTTCTCTGACTTCTCCTCCGTCAGCTCTTTCTCCTCTTCCTCTATATCGCTGTGATCAGCATCCTGCAGAAGGAGACCTCCTGTTGTGTCCTCGTATACGTATTGAGTCCAGGTGTTCTTGGGATTTCCGGGATAAGTTTGCACTTCGATATCGCGCGGCTCGAAGTGCGTCTGGACCATCTTGGAGATGCGGTTCTTCTCGATGTTCTCGTAACTCTCGTAAGACAGCAGCTCCACGTAACTGTCCCAGGAATCCTTCGAGGTTCTGTCGAAGAGCTCACGGCTTGAGCCCAAGGAACTGACCGGAAGGCACACTTCCACTTCGAAAAAGTCCCTCGTGTTCCGGACCAGACTGTCGTCCAACTCGGTCTCGCTTCCGAGGGACTTCCGGGGTCCGCCTGTCTTCCTAATCTTCTGCACGACTTCGCGTCGGATCTTCTTGCTGATGCCAGCATTCCTTCTTATTATCGCCGACTTCGCGTCCTCCGTCAGGCAGATCACGAAGTCAGGGGCGATTAATTGAGTGGATGAGTAACCCATGAGAAATGTGTCGCCGCCGTAAGCCTCGATCTTCTCCCGATGCGGCTCCAGCGACGAGCCCGACGTCTTGGCGAGCCTCAAAACAGACTCTCGTGGTACAAAGGCCCAAGGATATTCCAGGAACACGTATTCGCCGACCGAGCAACCCAATTCTCGTTGAGCCTCGGGAATGAGGCTCACGCGCTCCACATTCTCGATATTTTCGTCGAGCAATGTCCAACCTGACCGCCGGCACTTAACCTCTTTCCCCGACATCATTCTCGCAGCTCGCGGCAACATACAGTAACGACTCCGAGAGCAAGTCCAGTCGCGAACGGTTCCCAGCATCGACCAAACAACGCCATTTCTCGAAAATAGTTGCCAAGAAGCTTCCTCCGATCGACTACCGGGAGACGCGCGCATTCTCTTGGAAATTAATAAAAATTCTTTACGATTATGTATTCAGATTGGCGCAAAAAGTATATCATGTTTGTCAAGTAAAATATTAAACAAAATTATCCAATTTGATTGATTGGTAATTTTCACGAATAAAATAAGCAAGATTGACTCGATGTTTTTTTAAAATCCAACGAAAACTTGCTTTTGACAAATTTTAAGTATCAATTTGATAGAAATGCAATACTCTATATTTTCGCTTGGTTTCTTATTTCCGCGATTTCAAACGGCCTTCGAGATTGTAATAGTACACGATCGTGAAAGCATTATGGATTGGAACGTTGAAATTGCAGGAGCGGAAGAAGTACTTCACTTTCACCGCTTGACAACGTTGTGTCGCGATAAATACCAAGTCGAGAATTCTCTCTGCGCTACGTCTTGCTGGTTATTATATAATTGTGTCATGAATACTCGACAGCACCATTGTAAATGCAAATGCAACCGCTGAATGAAGTAATGCACCTAAGCACATCGCTTGTGCGTTTTGCATGAATTTTCCTACTCGCGACGACCTCTGTGATGAACTGCTGTTACTCAATGTATATTTCAATAGTCACTACTCGATGTGCTCAATGTGTATTTCAATAATGTGTATTTCAATAATCACTACAGAGATGAAAATTTTAAGTAATATATTGCAAAAACGATGTATTAAACTTATAAATAATGTGTCAAGAAACGTATTAAGTAACAAATATATAAAATAACACCTTTCGCTGCATCCATCTGCGACAATGCAAAATATATATTAGAATACATTGGCATTGTTGTATCTTCGCTTTATCTTCCATGCCATTTTATATATAATTTTTCCGTTTTGTTAACAAATGTCGTGTCTCGATTTAATTCGCTTGACATTATATTTCATGTTGCATATATTTTCTCCAGTGTTTCTCTGCCACCGCACTCGAGACAGCCGCACGTGCAAAAGAAAAACGCGTAATCTTTTATTAACACGACCGTGAATATGTATTCATAGTGAACGACAGCCGTTACCTTCATTTATATATATGCCGCAGTCATAGATTCCTCACTCCGTGTATAACACTTTACTTTTAAGTTGGCGGTAATACAGCGCGCTTATGGACGGTGATCAATGTTGACCTTTCGAGAGCGACCGGCCTAAGCGGCTGTCGTGTCACTAAATATACACGGGTGACTAGAAAGCATGCTAAAGAGAGGAACGCGTATACGCGTGAGGTGTGTACGTGCGTTCGCTCATCCCGCGCATTATACCGTACTAGAATCCCCGTTCGCGAGAGTCGCGAGGTGTTGGCCTCACCCAGCCAGAAGAGAAAATCGGAGATGAAGCAACAGTGAATGTTGCAACATATTTACTGTTGCAATTACAACTCTTGGATTTATTTGATATACAACATCCGCACGCGGAATCTTCGGTCAGTGACGCTCCTCGAGAGAAACAAAGAGAGAAATGATTGTATTGCGTGTTATCTCTCCTCAATATGTGCTTTACGTTTGATAACTTGGCAACTGCGATTCGTGTTGAAGTTCTGTCGAGAGAAATATGCGATGTCACATTGAGAAGCAAACCTCTGCTATTTGCAAGAAACGAGCAAACCCATTTAACTTTATTAAGTCAAAAACTATTAATTTCTGCACATGCGAACAACAGTGCAGAACTTGTATCAGTTATGTTCTTTCCTGTTATGTATCTTTGAGAGTAGTAGTGTGAATTTAACGTCTCTTTAACATCGTTATTCTGGTTTTTAATGAGATAATAATAACGCGTATTCGACAGGCGTTATTGCTGATAAAAATGTGGAGTAATTCTGAGAATTAAGTCGAGAATTAAGTAATATAGGTTACTGAGTTCTCCAACGATAATGCGTCATAAATCATACATTATCGTACAGTCCGACCCGCGACTCGTCAATTTCGCATTTACGGCTTAAATAGGACATATTAGGACGTGCTTCGCGTGCCTTACCGCACAATCGCTACATTAAATGCGATACGCGCCACGCAATGATACGGCAAGTATAACTTACTTGTTGCAAACGTAATTTACGGAAAGTCCGTAATTTTCCGCTGAATGTAATTAACGCTAAAATGACGAAATAAACGTACAATTTACAAAAGATTTTCCTCAAAACAGTAACAGACGATTTATCATTAAAACAGAGTGCTTCAACGCCCAAAAAATTTCCTTACTTGCACGTTTCGTTTCACTTTACTATTTCTTGATATTTTGTATATCGCAAGAGATAAAACGATGCTACAAGGTCGACACAGAAATGTAAAAAGAATTCACGCTCGAACTTTCCTACGCGATATTCCTCGTATCTGTACGGATTGTCGCGTTTGTGAAAGGGATGGAGCATTGCGGCTTTGAGGAAAATGACGTGGTTTCGCAAGAGATCCGATTCATCTCTATAAATAACAAGGAGATATTTGCGATAATGTTTTCTTCGCCTCTGATAGTCGTCATCAGTACTATCCTATGCTATCGCCAATTACCGAACGTTATTCTAGTCATTTGTTTTATGGACATTATCAAGGGTTAGTAAGCGTTCGCCGGATAAGGCATGTTGAAGCGAGATTAGTGATTCACACACGGAGGTAGCTCAGATGACCATTTATCGGCGTAATGCGTTATGACCTACGCAATCTACGTTAGCGCACTCATGTGTGAGTACTGCTCCACTGAGCATCATCCAATGCAACAAATGTTGTGTACATAACCGTGCTTCATAAAGCCTCATCTCGTGCCTCATCTCGACAATTATTCGCACGAATGATCTCGCGATTGCAGATTCGCAATTGCGAGAGTCAGACGCATACTTGTATATGTTGTTTAAGAACAATGCAATGTGTATAGTAGATTAAGTCAGAAAGTGAAGATCCTAAATTAATTTTTACTGATCCCAGATCGACTCTTCCTTTCCCTTAATTTCCTGTCATTTTCAGTCATAGCGAATTATCATTATCTAGATATTAGCTAAGAATTATCATTATCGGGAAATTAGCTAAGATGGATAAATGACTGGCAAGCATTGCAATATCACATTATGTTTTGTACTTAATCAATACAGATGACAGAGAGGAATTGTTGTCTGAAGTCGTTATGAATTTTAGCAGGAGAAAGCCTTTCTCTCTGTGACGGCCATCCAGTTTCAAATTTCAAGCCAGAATCAAATTTCTTACAAAAATTGACTGTGGTAGACGAAAAAGACTAGCGACGAGAGACAAACGAATGCATAATCCTCATATTCACTCAAATTTTAACTGATATTTAGAATTCTACTTAGACTAGCAAAACATATTTTTGAGCAAAAGAAAGGCGGAAAGAGCTCGAAGGAAGGAAGATTACACGCCGGCTTGCATGACCACAACGACACTTCTGTACGATGACTGTAAGAAACCACATGTGTTCTCGTGCGGATCAGCCCAGTTACGCGGAACGAGCGAAATTACAGCAATGTGCGAAGCCGACGTCGAGATAAGGCTCGCCGCGGCGTCGACGAGGAATCTCGGCGACCCACATCCGTCGGTCGTATTACAGTTACTAAATGGCCAGGCATTACAGCCCGTACCTACTACGGCAGACTCGACTTGTCCATCCGTTATTGCGATCTTCATTGACTAATTGATTGAAGTTATATACGATCACGAGTTGAAGGGAGCGATATTGCCGGTGAGAACGCGAATTCGAGAGATTGGACACGCAGAGTCCAGTCGTTTGTGTGTCAAATGGTACGAGCTAAGCGCTTTTTAATCGGCGTAAAATAATATGTATATATTTCAACTGATACGTCACTATCGTGTTACAGCTAAGTAAGATAATGTGCTATCATGCTACTGTAAGAGACAGAACTATTAAATCGTTTGATACTCCGAGTCTTGGAACTGATTAGTCATTGTTAGTAGATTTCCTTCCTGCAAATTCATGAATTGATTCGCGTCGAATTTCATGACTCACGAAAGGCACGCGGCCAAGATGCTCCCCGATTTCTTCGTATTCGATTTTGTTATAATTAATTTTGTTATAAGACCAAAGATAATCACGATTAGATTACAAATATCGGTTTCAAAGTGTACTCTTTGGCGTTCCTGAGGAAGTGAGTTCGAAAAGTTTCAAGGATGGAGGTTGACGAAGTTACGAAGTTGTTATTGCAGATCGATGTGGCAACGCGTTATTAACGCAAGATCGTAAACTCCAGCCTCTCGCGTCCGGAAATAGACGCCGGAAGTCGCGATTCGTAAAAAGGCACGCTGTGCACGATCGAGAGGAGTCTTTTCCTCGCGTGTGTACATTTACATTGGCGGTGATCCAACGCGCTGCTTTATCGGCGCGAGATCCTCAAAATCTCAAATCTATCTATCAAGATTTGATTGCCGGTGAAACGCGAGATAAAAACAACCAGATGGACATCCAGATTTCGATCTATGCCTTCAATTAGCGCCGCTATTGCCGATTCTACACCTGCAATAACGGAAGTGTATAATAAACAGCAACGCCGTATACGATTATTCTGAATACGCTATCCTAAGGATGTCAAACGCGAAGCGAGCAAGATAATTATTAATTCCCGAGAGTGATAAATCGTGCGAGATTTCAATGTACTCTTTAACAGGTACTCGCGACGCGCGTTTCTTTCTCATTCGTACAGAACTCGCTTGGAGGGAGAAAAAAGAAGAGATACTCGCCAGTGGAACCAACATCGATCAAAGAACTTTCTGAAACACGCGCGGACAGTTATACAGTCCGTTTCATAAATAATACATAAGCAGTCCGCCATGTTGATTTTGCTGATCGCCTTATTTATTGTCGTCCAGAAATACATAATCGGGCACACGCGGCCGAAATGCGTCGCGCTACCATGCGAGACACCTTGCGCGCCACGGGCGAAATAAAAGTCGGCGGAATTCGCGCGAAGAATTTCTAAAACGGGCGCCTCCGGCGAGAACGGCGAGGAGGTAAGAATGCGCACGCCAGGTTGTCCGGCATGCGTTCGATTACGTGTGTGTGCGAAACGAACGAACGAACGAACGAACGAACGCGAGTCTCGCCTCTCTTTCTCTCGTTTTCCGGATCGGCGCGTCTCGCTCCTTCTCTCCTCTCCAGGCGGACAGGCCATTAGACGTAGCGCGCTGCAAGGCGCGCCCTGTCCTTGTGCATGAGCCGAGTCGCGCGCAATTACCGCGGTGCATAACTCGCGGCCGATATAACACGCCGTCGGCCTACACGCTGCAAGACGCACGCGGGTTAACACAATGCCGCGGTGGAGGGAGAGAGAGAGAAGGAGAGAGAAATAGCCCTAGCCGCGCCGCGGCCGCCCCCGCTTGCTGATATTGTGATAACTATTGCGCAATTGGCAGCGCGGCCGTTTCGCTCGATGTGGGCGATCAGAATTCGCGATAGACCCGCGGAGATGGAAGGTGAAGATCGTATTCGCGTTCACCTGAAAGGAGCGATTGGGAATCAACCTTCCTGAGCGAACCAATACACCTTCCTGAGCGAACCTTCCACAGCGAGAAATAGTGAAATCTTTCAAACGGAAGTTTCAAGTTTTGCGAGGAAATTGGTAATACTTATCTCTTTATCAGGAGATTTACTGGTATTATTATCCAACCTTTATGTTTCCACCTTTGCGCGCAGGATACTTTATGAAATATCATGTACATTGTGAAATATTTTATAATATAATATTTTATAATACATCGATGTGTTTTATAATGTATAAATAGATAAATATTGTAAAATATCGTATTGGAGATAAAGTGTTTTATCATAATTTCTTCAACCGATAGCAAGTCTGTGTATAAAAAATTTTATGCCTCGGTATCGATTGTCCTTTCAGGTAAATGCGAGTCTCTTGTCAAAAGTCAATGTTAATTGCTTCTTCTCGTTTCCGCCCTTGATCTTGAAATCATCTAATTATCAAACGAGTGTTGCACGCGAGCCTCTATGCGCATGAATGTCAAAACGTAGCTAGAGAAGCGTTGCATGAGTATAATATCACAGTACCACTAACGCTATTATTTTAAGTAATACTCCATTACGCGTGGGGCAATGGATTTTTATGAGAGTTAAAAAAAAATAAAATCGTCATACAACTCTGTTAGGGAGATTAAGTAAATAGTCACGAAACGAGCCACTTCGTCAAGATAATGGATTAGTCACGAAATCATAATTAAATTTTATAACGCCATTAACATCCTCATTAGTCGAGACATTTTTCACGTTATCTGTCACTAAATGTTTCTTTTCACATGACACTCTCCCACTGTTAACAAGAGTCGATTATTCACGAGGGAGTAATGCACGCGAGCTTTACCCTGACCGAAATTAACCCTTCAAGTGGGTCGTTGCATTACGCGTACGTAATATCGTGCGAAAGTGTCTCAAGCGGAGAGGAAAAAGGAGAACGGTTGCAGTTTCAACAGAATGGTCGAAATGAGTTGTAAGCTCGTAACTTTTACGACACAAACCGTATACTAAAAATGTATTCTCTTAGACAGATTCGCGCAAAACACGAAATATTAGATGACAGTTATAATAAGACACCAAAATCCTACTTATTTTTTTTTTCATTTTTAGTGACTTTAACTGACTTACCGGCAGAGTCACTTACACAGTCTCATTATACACTCTCGTAAACATAAGAAACTAAAAACAAGTAAAGAATAATTTTAATATTTAATTGTTAAATTATTATAAACAAATAAAAGTATAAAAAAATATAAAAAAGACGCGTTAAAAAAAACCACTTTAAAGCTAACTATCAGAAATTGACATATCAAAACAGTTTATTCAATTAACAGTATTTTGCACATTTTTTTCAAGATTTTCTGTCAGCCCTATTTTTCACAATAAACTGTTGAAATACTGATAATATACTGATATTTGCTGCAAGTTTCTTGTCAAACAAGTAAATATTTCTTTTTTATGTGGAGGAAATGTCATTATTTTCGAATAATGTTGAAAGCAAGATAACTAATTTTGAGAATTTATGATCGTTACATTGGATTCGCCATTTCGGATTTTAATTGTTTTATCTCAAATTTATAATCAGCGAGCCCGAAATCGTTCATATGCCGAATTTGAAGGAAATAAAATATACTCAAAGAGTTAATATCTATGTGCAAAAGTGAAACAGATATGTGAGTTCCAAAAATCACAAAACTCACTCGTGTCTGTGAAACAATTTCAGAAATCAAGAACGTTCAGCTTGTAATCATAATTGTGGTTGTACAGTTTCTCGTCTGGATAATAATAGAATTGATTTGCAGTCACCCTACGAGTTTGTTTCCGCAACAACCGGACAACACCAAATCATTTCCCGGTGTAACAGGAAAAAGGGCGCGTTTATCGTTCGTCGAACCATATTGCAATTACTTACGTGGCGGTACGGTTCATCGCTTGAATACTTTCCGCGCTCAGTTGACGCTTCTCGTGCACGATTTGTTTCAACCGTTTTTTTATCGGAATCAACTAGCGTGAGACTTTCTCGAAACACTCGATTGTTACATCGAGTAACAAGTGTTCTCTGTCGAACAGATAGACTTATTGTACGACGAGCAAATTATTAACAGATGCAAAATGTACACTATAATTACTCGTCTCGATTCGCATGTGCCAAATAACACTTTCTACGCGCTTTCTAATATGAAGTTAAAGGCACAACTGTGTAATCACCTTACTGCGAAGAGAGGAAGCTCCTAAGATAGTATGTTTACAAAGGAAATGTCCGAAGCCGCAAAAACGTTACATTATATTTTATTATAGTCACCGAGTATTGTTTTCACGACTCGTGATAGCAGAATTTTTCTCTTGAGCGCTACTACAGCTGTTAATAAATCTAACATCGCACAGCTGTTTAATTAAATTCACACATACACTTGTGTTTTCTTATCATATCGAGTGCAATGATCGCATCACATTCTGTTAGCTGAAATTTTTGTCGAACTAAAATCGGAAAACACAACGTTTTGTTAAATATTCGTACATACTTGAATTTCCAAAGCTACTTCTGGAAGTTTTCAACCGTCGATATAAAAAATTAAGTTGATTAGTAGTTTTCTGGAAATTTTTGCCAAAGAAAGATTTTGGCTTCACATTTGTAAATGATTCTGCGACTGAAACTTCTCCCGAATTCGCATATTTATAAATGCATAAACGTATACTTAAACGTTTTTTTTCCTTTATCAAAGAAAAAGATATAACGGCATTTGCGTGACTTTCCTCCTCGACAGGAAGTTCGTCTGCAACGTCACATATCATACGCTGGCAAGAAAAGGTGAGACCGGAAACGATAAGACCGGCTGTCAGGCGGGTTTTCCTCTGGAGGTGCGACTCCGTGTAACCAACCGTGCAATGTAATTCTCAATGCGGACGGAAACGAGAAAGAGATGCCGAAAACTCGAGGGCACAGTTGGCTACTGTCGACAAGACTGTCAGACTGATTGAGAAACCGCGCGCGTGGAGGAATAAATGACAGATTGATACAAGAGCATTCCTCACACACCTTGCACTTTTGCCAAACGTGAGTTTCCTCAAGTTAAATGAAAATTATTCCGCTGACGTCAGTGGAATACGATTACCTGCGATACCTGCGTCGACCTTACACATGTATCGCTGCGAATAAAAAAAGAGAGTTATGTTCATTTCTTGTCGTGTATAAAATCGCGCTACACTTCCACACTTGCGCGCACGAATACCCGAATAGACATGACGCATCTAAACACATTACGCAGCATTCGTGTTACGCCGACAGCATTATTATATCAATTCTCCTCCGTTCCGCACGCAACTCAATGACGTTCTCAGGTATTAATTATTATAGTTCAAGGATTCGACGACCTAATTCGCGAGTGACCGGGCACAGCAACTGCACAAGCTGCGGCCGCTGTTTCGCGACCATGAGGCAAACTAAGCTTGATGAACATGTTAATCTGCCAATGACTGGCGAGCCGATCTAACGCTCCGTCGCAAATAATTATACGCAAGAGAGAAAACGTATGAATATTCGTTTATCTATTTTAAGATTTATCAATGAATTTAAATTTACAAATATTCCGACAAGATAGTTATTTTTCCTCGAATATGCGCTAGACGAGCCGACGACAAGTTTTACCTGGTTGGAAACACAAGTCATTGTGTATAATAACGAATGTGTATTAGATCAGGCCCCGTTACCAAGTATTTCGAGTAAAAATAAATGCAAAGGAGAGAGGAACAGACGGAAGTTACTCGTAGCTCGATCCAATATTTGTTATGTAAGCTCGAAATAATAAAACATTCTGTCGGCAAGAGATATTCGCGAAAAGCAGATGTCAGTTTTCCAAAGTAACTCGCTCTTTCACCACGTATAGCGGACGCGAGTCTCGCGCAGCTATCTTGGCGGGTAAATAACACGGTTACTCGCGGGTAATGCGTATTGAAAAATTAACGAAGGATAAAGCAATGTCAGGGATAAGCGTCATTTACACCGACGCGCGGTGCCACGTGTTGGAGCGCGCAAGTTATGATTCCTCCTACGATATTATACAACCTCGATCTCACTTTCCATAATAGGTGAGCTCCCATGAATGAAAATTGCGCAACATTACAGCAAGAGGAGGCAGGCTGATGTTTCATACTTGGACGCGCGTAAACCTCTCTGACATTCGCGGCATCGGTTTCTATTCGGAAAAATAAATAGCTTATGAAGCAATGTTTCATCTCGAAAAGAAAAATGCACATTGAGCTACGCAATCTTACATTATCCCGCGTACGTGAATGCTTGGAATCTGAATGCCATTTCTTCTTACATCAACGCAGTATCTTCTCGAAGCGTAAAATAACGCGCCTCACCTATAAGAATCGACTCTCTTATCGTTGCAGATTGCTAAGTAATTAGGCGAGCAAATACTGATAATTTCTGACGAAAGCTACTTGATAAAAATTTACGAAAAATCCGCTTGGTGAACCGAGCACTTGAAACCCCACACGGAAAAAAATGTTTGGTTGAATTAACCAAATATCTAGTCGAATATGAACGATCCAAAAATTCCAATTGAAGTAACCCGAATTCTGCTTAAGTCAATAAAAAATCTTGTTAACTTAAACAAAATTCAGGTTACTTCAATCGGAATTTCTAAATCGTTCATATTCGACTAGATATTTGGTTAATTCAACCAATCTTTTTTTTTCCTTGCAGAAAAAAGAACACTTAATGAAGAAGAAATCAACTACTGAATTCCGAAAAAAATTTACATATTTACTAAATTTATATTCTTCGAATAATTAGGGATTCTGAAACAGAAATTCCTAATTCTTATATAAAAATAGATCTCACATACGCGTGCACTCTGTCTAGACTGCGAAAGTTCGTAGAAAGTTGTTAATGCTTTCGCTATTAATTTTGTTGTTTAAAGATAGAATATTTTTACTTTTACTTTATTAAATACACTAAATATAAATAGTTAATTAAATATAAAATAGTTTTAGCAAGAAAATTAATAATTTCATGTTTGTTCAAAGAGTTTTTGGAAGAGTATATTTGTCCCAAGGTAATAAGTAGAATGATAACTGATGTGTTCTGAATGCCAAAAAAACTGTTTATTCAATTGAGTAAGGTTATTGTTAATGGTGGGAAGAACATATGTTCCAGGATATATGGTTGGTAGTGAAATAATTAAGCGTAAAGAAGTGGTGTCTGAAGGATTAAACATATCTATTATTAGTGTCCCTAGTTAATATCGACTCAAACAAGTTACGGCAACCTTCCGAGAGAGAATATTACACGAAGAGAATATTATAGTTTCTTTTCATAGCAACGCTTTTCAACTTTATTATGTTTTTAGTAGTGCAGGGATAGACTGTCAGTGAGGCCCATCTTGCTGAGAAACACAGTAAATTTCGCAGGAAGTATAGCAAATTTTTTAATAGCATATTTCACAATTCTCAAAATATACGTAACGCACATGAGATGGAAAGATAGTCAATTACGACAGAAGGTCGATCTATTCTCTAATTACAAAGTTCAAAGCACAAAGTTAAAGTTACAAAGTAATTTTCGCTACAAAACTCTTCCCATGCACGTTGACAGTATACTCGATTGAGTAAGGAATCATTCTTGGCAGAGAAGCAGAAAACAGAAAGACAGAAATCAATCAGAACGCGCGCTGGTAGAATCGCAAAAAATGATTACTACCGCCTGAAGTTCTGCTTAGCTTCTGCTTTTTTGTTCTCTACCTTTATACCAAAATGTGGATTCTTTCAAGCACGACTCCACGAGATGATATTGCTAGTCTTCGCGGAAGCGAGCGGATAACACATATCGAAGTGAAATTCGCCGATAATCAGCGTTTTATCTATTCCTAATCTGCCTCGCGTGCGACATCCATTTTATTCCGTACGAATCCACGCAACAGAAAGTATCGATGACTCTCCGGACAGACGTGACGTGGCTCGTACACGTGGGCAACCCGGTAGCGACGTGTTAGTCCGCCGTCGAACTCGCGGCACTCGACGCGACGGCCGGTCGGAGAGCTAAAGGACACATTGAATCCTTAATGAGCCGGTCCGATACCGTTGCCACGGCCTCGACATGGCATGGATGGCAGCCTAAGTATGTGGGACGCCCCGTATGGTACCGGTCGTCCGGATGTCTGAACATGTATGGTCATCCTGATCTAGCATAGCAGTAACGCGTAGCACCGAATCCACTGCTGCGCGTTTAGAGGTCCGTTCGTTCTTGAAGAACTTCTGGACTGGTGCATTAATTTGGAGTGAAACAAGTACTCTTTCTTTCACTCCAACTTATCGCACAAATGTGCACCAGTTCAGAGATTCTGCGAAAACGAACAGGCCTCAGGTTTCAGCTGATCACATTGCGCGCACTGTTACGTACCGTAGCCCGAGTTCTTGTGGTTTCAAAAAGAAGTAAAAAGAAAGGCGCCAAGTTCACGCGCTTCCTCGCATGAATGGAACTATACGAAAGCAAACGCTTCTATAAAAGATATTTTACTTACAAAATGCATCTGAAAACGTTAAAATCAATTGATTACGCACGCGCATTGTTACACGCCTCGATTCAGGTTTCTTGAAATCTTTATTTTAGAACCTTCTGTCTATCTGCCGACAAGAATCGCATTCGAATAAATATTGTAATACCATTAGCCCGAAAAACATCACAAATTCTAAGCTTGTCGAAAATATCGCACATATTTGAATCACGCCCTCTAAATTTCTTTGAGAGAAATTTTACTCGCAAAGTGAACACCACCGAGTCATTCGAATTTCTGGTGGAACGAATCAGAAATTCCGAGTTAAAGTTTATCAAGAATTCTGTTCCAGTTAACAAGATTTCTAGGCAGCAATCGTGCAACTTCTTCCTAAAAGCAGGAATGTAGAAAGTTTCACGTGAACTAGACGACTTTTGCGATCGTGCAACTTCTCGAACAATAGAAATGTGAAAATTTTTGCGTGTGAAACTTTTAACTTTTCATGAGTTTACGCTAAGGAAAAGAAAGCATGATCGATATTCTGGTTAACTTGAACAGAATTTTGATAATTTCAACCGAAATTTCTTGGTTTCTTTCTTATTTCACCAGAAATGTGGTTAACGCAATCAAACGTTCTCTCCGTGCAGTGTGCAGTTTTTATGTGTATGTCTGTACCGCTCTTGAGAGCAACAACTCCTGCATTAATAAAACACTCACACATAGAATTCCAAATTGAACCGTTTCATTCCCTGCATTTGATGTTACATCGTGACACACTCGTGCTCGTAACAGCGCCTGGCGCGTCCGCTGGAGAAAAACCGGTTCTTCCGGTACCGCCGTGTTGTTCCCGACGCGACACATAGAGATCCAGAATTATCGCGTTAACAAGAATGTCGGCCTTTTCGTGACCCTGGCCGATCGCGACGATCTGCGCCCGCTCTGTTCCTATTTTACGGTTTTCGGACGAAATCTCTTGTATCGCGCTCGTCGCGCTGTTGTCTTCGATTAATTAATTTTCCCGTATTGAGAACGATCAAGGCCGCGTTTTTTTATCGGATTTAACGACGCGCAATAAAATATAATCGCTGTCCCGAAATCTATCCGGCAAGAAATTCCACCCAAACACTATCCGACATTAGATTAACGCCCAACTAACTTCTAACTGAAGCTTTGATTTAAATTCTCATTAAAATAAGCACTACTTAAAGTATTATAACTATTGGGATACTAATACTACATGCAGGTAGAAATAAGAAATGGATGAATGTGTGTGGCTAAGGAATGTGAATGTAAACCAGGTTCCCTTCGTTGGCTACGTAAGCTGAAGGAAAATAAAAATATCTATCTATCTATCTAAATAAGCACCACTTGGACAAGAGAGTTAACTCTTACGAACAAGATTCATATTCTCGAATAGTAATTTACCAGTGAGCTCGCTAATTTTCAATTACAAGAGAAAAGTTCCCAGCACACGAACGAAGAAAACAAGGTCGACTTTCTTCGACAGGAAATAACATACGTCGTAAGTGGTATATCATAACGTTTAACACGACATTATATGTTTCGTACACTGAGAGAAAAGATAAGAAATAGTAAATATTTATTCGATGCCTATTAATAGCATATTTATTTATACTAATATAAAATATACATTTCCCTCCAGTAAGAAAATATATATTTCCTCAAGATCTTAAAAAACCCTAGTTTCTCATGAAAGTAATTATTTGCTCTATTTAAATAAAAGAATTTAGACTTAAGTAAATATGCCGTTATTTACTAATTTTTAAATATTTTAGTCTCAGTATATTTGAAAACCAAAACAAGAATACTCAGAGGGTTAGGTGCTAGATATTCGTAACTAGGCACTGGTCCTATTATCTTATTTATATTAATATAAAATATCTTTCACAAGTCAGAAAATATACATTTTCTTAAAACCTTAGGGAAACCTTAGTTTTTCATAAAAAACAATAACAAATAAAAAAATTTAGATTTAAGTAAATATGCTGTTAATGCTCGCCAAATTTTTTTTTTTGAGACCCCAATTATATTACAATCTGTCTACGCATGAAGACATTCAGCAATATTTATAATTTAGAAGTGGACACGGAAGGTACGCATCCACTGATACGTCTTTATAGACTAGACTTAATACTTATATTAAGATACCCTATAATACATAATATATATAGCAGCATAACAATTGCTACAGTTGTATACTCTAGGATATAAAATCTGTTGGTATTTTTTTTATCGCAACATCGTCCGCAAATGTCGCAGTTATTACTTCGGTTGATGGAGGTAGGTCAACCGTATAAAAAAGGTATAGAATAGGGCACGCTATCCTGAGGGACACTAGCACAGATTTTATGAAGAACCGTGGCTGCATCTTGATATTTGACAAAGAAATGCCTGTCTTGAAGATACGATTTTAAAAGAAGTGAAAAATGATTTTAAAAGAAATTAAAAATGTAGTAGTTTAGTGGTAAATTTTGCTTGATTTTATATAATAAAACGTAATACTACACCTTGTCGAAAGCTTGCGTAATGTCTAGGAAGGCAGTCGAGCAATATTTCTTTTCTTCTAATCCCATGTATATCTCCTGTATACGATGAGCTGCTCGATATACGGAAAAAAAAGATTTGCTAATATATAGACAACTAAAATTATTAACTGCAGAAGCAAGTTTTCATAGCAAAGTTATTTAGTTGTGATAGCTAAAAGATTTGCTAATATACATATTAGCAAATCTTTGCTATGAAAGCAAGAAAATTTGCTCCTGCAGTTAATAATTTTAGTTGCCCATATATTAGCAAATCTTTTTTTTCCGTGTAGTAGTGTAGTTGTGCCGAAAACCAAACTGATGATTAGATATCAACTTTTTTCCTTCTATAATTGGTTTTGTGCTCGCCAAATAAATATGTACTAATTTTTAGATATTTAATCTTCTCAGTGTGGGAGGTCAAGAAAAAAGTCCTCCTGCTATCGGATGCAACATAATTCTGCTGGACGACACGCTGCGATACAGGCGTTTTGCGCGCGCGTATTCTCCCCTATATTCGCGCGCGACGGGAGACCGGCGATCACGAAA